ACAGAAGCTTTGCTCCAAAGAGAGCAGGCTTTGTGTAAAACGCAGCAAGAAGGTGGTTCAAAGCAAATATAATAGCCTATGGAAGTAAACCGTTCCCACTTGAGTGGCTTCCAAGCATCCTGCTCAGCACTCACAAGGACCTGTTGGAAGCATGGGAAACCTAGAGCCTTAGACCTGGCTTCATTTTGTTGCCAGCCAAGTCTGAGCTCAGGTTCAGAGGACAGACCTGGGACTTGCAGGCAGGTCCCCAGGTCCTGAACGCACAAGAGCACCTCCTGGGGTGCCCTGAGGTGGCAGTCGGATGAAGGGCACAGCATCCACTGTCGCACCAGGCAGGACCAGCACAAACCAGTCTGTCCGAACTCCTCACTGGGATCCCCAGCGAGCCGCGGGCAGGCTCTGCCCAGCACCGCTCCCTGCAATGAGATCCAGCAGGGAGGGCAGGGTTACAATCCGGGGACCCCGAAACGAGCCCCCTCCTCGCCAGCAGCACTCCTCCCTGGCTTTTCCAAGGACAGGACTGAGTCTGCACATTCCCCGGCCCCGCGGCCCCGCTCCCGCCCCGCCGACCCCCCTCGCGCCAGCGGGTTCGCAGAAACCCAGCGTCCCACCCCCCCTGCCACCTCCCGGTCACGCTCCGGAGTGACGGGAAGAGCAAGGATCGAGTTTCCCTGTGCACCGGAGAACAGGAATAACGTTTGGTCCTGCCAAGGACAACACCTCACTCTGGCAGGTTGCACAGGTAACCACCTGGCACAGTTGAAGTCGAGCTGTAAGGTGCCTTAAATGTGGGATTTTACAGCCCCACGCGGTGTTAATGTGTATGTATCGATATGCATATACATCAATAACCAACCTGATCCAAGGAGACAGTTTCCCTGGAAGTTTTCCAGCATCTGGATATCTTTATTACGGTGAAATACTTAGGTCAGAGCCCTAACTTGCATAAACTGGCACAGCTCTGCTGAAATCAATACCCCCACTCCAGCTCCTGCTATTTGATGAGGTGGCCCAAGATCTCTACATTGGTTTTACTGTCTTCCTTCATCATTTGCCCAGTTCTCATCTCAGGGCCTCTTGTATTTTTTCAGCTGATTTTATTTCTGTTTGCGGAGTCCTGGGCAAGGGCTGTGAGCACAGAGAAACCACAACAGCTTCGCTTGTAAGTGAGAAATCCAGTCGTGCTCACCATCTCAGGGAGGGTTTGTTTTAGTCTCCCAGCACTAGGAGATTACTTCTTGGTTTTCTGGAGATCCCCAGGTCCAACACTTCCCCTTAATCCCTCTTGGTGTCCTGCCCAAGGGTCAAGCACAGGAGCAGCCTGAGACACGGTGGACCACGAGGCACTCATGCTCTCCCACGTTACCCAGGGTGCAGAGACACCCGAAAAAAACAGGGAAAATCCTTTTCTTACAGCAACCTCTTGCAGAAAGTCAAGAGCAAAGTCAGAGACATCTTTCACAGAGGCAACTGCAGCGGGAGGGTAAGAGAGAAGGCCACGCTCGGCCTCCGCAGGGGGACCAAAGCAGTTTACGTGCTAATCCCTGTGTGAGCAACCAGAGCTGGCACCAGCTGGAGCCAGTTGTCTGACTCCAGCTCTTGGCAGGGAGGGACGGATGAACAAAAATATGTAGCGCAGGCACTGGCTGCCCGAAGCCACGGGTTGTTGGCTGTCAGCAAACGGACCCAGACGGAAAAATAAATACAGAGAACATCTCGAATTTGGAGAGCAATTCCTGCACAGCTGCAGAGCTCAGCAAGACCCCTGCCCAGGCTTTTCGGTGCCCACAGCACTTTGATGGTGTGGCCAAGGGCAGGGAGAAAGCTGCCATCCCTCCCCCAGCTCACGTGTCCATGCAATGCTTCCAAGCTCAGGGATTTGTTTTTTCTGGGGAAAAAAAAAAAACAACAACATAATCCTGAAGCCACAGAAGAGGAGGAATGAGGGCAAAGAAGGGATTTTGGCAGGAGGGTGATGGAGGATGATGCTGGAAAGGGGTTATATTCTAGGGAAGGTAGCCCGATGCTCCCATGGGATGGACAGTGCTGTCCTCGTTGACAGCCTGGATCCAAGCGTCCATCCACACGGATGCTTTTGGAAGCACCACCTGTACATGTGCAACATCCCAACACTCTGTAACGCTGTGACAGGGCTGGCATGGGCAGGGAGGGAGGATGGGATGTGTCTAGATCTAAATAAGGCCACAGAGGTAAGGGCAGGATCATTTTAAACAGTTAAAGTTTCATTTTAATGGATACCACAAGAGGGAAAACATTCCCTGTGGCAAAGGGCAAAGCATGTACTTTCTTTTTCCAAGGCAGGTTTTGCAGTCAGCCTCATTGGGGAAACAAAGCGCGTTTTCATCCATCCCCACTCCCTACCCCACAATTTTAGAACCTGTTGGTTCGTTTTAGCCAGGTCAGAGTAGGGGGGATGTCTGAGGGAATTTCTGCTCCTACACTTTGTGGGTTACTCCCCACTTCCACATTTTTTGGAGAATTGTGGCACTACTTGCTCAAAAACATAGAATAAACAACAAAAACATAAAAACAAACAAACAAACAAACAAAAAACCAAAAAAACCAACAAAACAAAACAAAAAAAAAAAAAAAAAAAAAACAAAACAAAACAAAAAAAACACAAAAACAGCCAAGTCCTGACTCGTGTTTCCAACTCTGCCATTAAGCTTGTTCAGCTTGAACAGCACAGATCTACAAGTACTTTGCAAGGGCTTACCCCACCTTCCCCTAAAAAAAATTCATTAGAATTAGCATTACTAAGACTGGGTCACACACCTACCTGCTGGAAAACCTTGAGGCAGAAGGTGGTGGTGCCTTGGTGCACCAGATGCCTCGTCCAGCCCCAGCTTTGTGAGCCTGTGCTTTGCATCGGGGTGCACTCAGTGCCACTTCAGCAGATTGGCTCAAGGACGATGGATTAAACAAGGCCAAGCAGATCAGCCACTGGAAATAACAGCTCTGGTGAGCCTCACATCCCTCTGTCCTGCCAAAGTGATTGTGAGCTGGGCCATTTTTTCACATGGTCACTAAAAGAAATGTAATATATCACCTTTTACACCATGACTTGACCCTAGACCTTCCCAAATATTTGCTGGTAAACTGTGCCACTGGGTGCATCTGCTCCAAAACCATCAGCAAGAACTTTCCTCTTTCCAAAAAGACTTAGTTCAGAGGATAGAAGGGTTTTCTAACTCTTCCTGAGGCTGGTGGGAGTTTGGTCTCACCCACAGATTCCAGCATCCTGCATTACTGGAGTGAGGAAGGTGTGTGTGCCTAAGGGGAGCAATGCCAGGTGGAACCCCACATATCACTAAACAGAATCACAACAGTGTTTGCTTCACAATTTGGTTTTTCCTGGTCTGTTCTGAATCTCAGTTGGGTTTGGGGCTGGAGGGGCAGCAGCTTGGTCCAGCTCCTGTTGCAGTCCCACCGGCTCTTCCCTGGCAGGGAAGAATTAATAATTAAACACAAGCCAGGTGAGGAGTAGTGGGGCTAGAAAGCAGCTGCAATATTTCCCTTTTAAAAGGCAGGAGGGCAGGAGCTAGAAGCTAAGTGGCAATTCATCTCCCTTCTGCACAACAGCATTTCCAGGTAAATCATTAGGGATGAGCCAGACACTGCCATTTACGTTTCCCATAGTTGATGGCAGGGTCCAACATCTCCAGGGTTGGGGGAAACAGCACAGAAAAAAGCTGAGAGCGCAGACCACCCACCAGCAGTATGGTCATGAGTGGAGGGGACCTTCTGCAGAAAGCTGGATGGAGCCACTACCTCCCCACAGCACGTCTTGGGAGCCTTCAGCTAAAACCAGCTCTGAGCCCCCGAGCTCCCTCCACTGTGACAGTGGATTTGCTGCAGCCCGAGTGAGGCAGCCCTGGGCTGGCCACCTGCAAGCTGGGCTGGCCACCGGCAAGCTGGGCTGGCCCTGGAAACCCTCCGAGCCACAGAGCCCTCACAGCATTACTGAACCTCGTGGCTCAGCCCATCACCTTGACTTCAGGCACCAGCCCAGAGTGAGGGTGGGTGATGGTCCCCAACCATTCACTGTGATGCACAGGCTGCTCTTACCTCACCAAGTGTCCAAAATTCCAGCAGGAACCACCACATTCTAAAGCCGATGGCTCCGAGCCCGAGCGCTGCCCTTTAACGGCCCGGCCCCTCTGCGGTGTGTGCGCACAAAGACAGGCAATGTCATCTTCCCGCCGCTCCCTTAACTGCTTATCGATCCCAAAGAGCCCCGGAATGGATTTCTCCGGCTAGCTATCATCCTCCACAGCCCGGGAGATCCCCCCTGTATTAGAGAGCAGACATCTCAGTCAGAGCTTTATTTACTGTGAAGGAGCAATTAAGCCGTCCCGGTTCGATTTATGGCCGGCACAGACAACCCCGCTCCACACGAGCCAAGGCCACTTTAACTTTCACACACTCACCTCTCGCCAGGTGCAAAAAAACCAGCTTAATTGGTGCATTTTTTATATCTCTAGCCCAAATTCAAACCTCATCTGTGATCAGTGTAGTACAAGCCAGGAAATTATTCCCTAGAAATGCATTTAGTAGATTTTCACTGTGCTCACTGCAGTCACGGAACCAAAGCTCAACTCATCCGGCTTTATTTTCTGAAAGCTGCATCCTGAAGGTGATATTTGGGATGCTGGGGATTTAAATGTCCAGCTCCATGCTCAGGACAGTGTGGCAAAGCCACCAGGCTATAACGTACAGCAAGTAACACCCACAGTGCTGCTCCACTTGGAAAAGAAAGACACTGGCACGAGGACAGGGACACGACGGCTGGTGATGAGGGGACCCAGCTGAACACCAAGCCAGCCTTGATGGAGGGGCTGGAAGCCAGGACACCCCTCCCCAGCAGGCTCCAGGGTGCAGCATCCCAGCACACAAAGCCTCTTGCTGGTCCGAGCCTGAGCTGCTACTCCAGCAGTTTGCCATAGATAATGTTCATGCTTTACGGAATATCAGCAAGATTGATTCAGATCTGCACTTTATTAATTTTTCCAACTACCAGCAGTGAATGAATCCAGTTGGAGACTGACTTAACTTCTCAATAGTGCCCAGATTTTCCACACTATCAAATTCATTTCTCACTACCCACAGTGGGGTTTGGGTGGCAGGTGAAGCATCTCGATGCTGCTGTGCTGCTCCTTCCAGACGTCCCAGCTGCTGAGAGCCCACCAGGAACACACCCAGTGTCCTTCTGGGTGAGAGTCTGTGGGATTTGAAGAAAATCTCTTTTTAACTGACTCTATGTCTTAGCAGGACAGAGCATTAAGACTGGGGAGAGGGGGAAGTGCTACTTACAGACTCACCGAGCTGCTACATGGCACCGGTTTTAAACTTGTAGAAGTGGTTACTTTCATTTTCAGAGCTGGGTTTAGACCAGTAACAGGCTTCATTTCACATTTTCTCAACTGAGCTCTTCTGCATTTGAACCAGCAGAACGTGCTGATGTGCCCAGTGTCCGGGGATGTAACCTGCCCTCAGCTGCAGCCCTGCCCACACCACCTGGAGCTGTGGAACCAGGAGCCCCTGCTGAAGAACCGTTGTACCCAGCCAGCTCTCCCCTCCTGATGATTAGCTGGACACCCAACAGTCTCTGTTCTCAGCCTCATTTGCCCCTGGCATTGATGGTCTTCCCTGGCTGATGTCCTGAGATCATTTCTGATGGCCCTACAAGAAGGATGCCAGGAGCCACTCAGCTCCTCACCCACTGCCCAGCACCCGGCACCCATCAGAGTCACCCTGCAATCCAGGGGGAGTGGGAAATGTCTCAGGATGCTGCTTTTTCTTAAGCAGACACTTAGAAAGCTTCTGAAAACTACATAAATAAATAAAAATATTGACAATGATAGCCTGGCTATTTTTAAGCTGATCCTTGCACACCAGCCCTGCTAAACTGACATTACCTCCCAACTCTGGGGCCTGATAACAGTGAGATTCATTTGGGGTTTAATCTAATCACTGTTCCTGGAGTGTTTTCTAGAGTGTTTGCACAGAGCACTTGGGTGATAAACTGAGAGACCTTTCAAGGCAGTCATAGTCCATGTTGGTAAACACCTCCTCCTGCACAACTGCAGGTGCCACCACCCACCACACCTGCTTTCCAGTCCTGCTTTCTCTTTTGGTTTCACTTCCTGCACCCTTCCAGGCAGCCAGTAAGGAGCAGGGAACTTGCCCCAGCTCGTTTCCTTATTGCCTCTCTGTGCTCCATGGCACCTGCTTGTGTTGGCATTTCCCGGTGCACTCACACACGGGCATCCCGTCGAAACCACCCCCCCAGCCAGTGCTCGGTACCACACCTGGCCAGGTAGAGAGATCTCCTTTATGAGCTCCCGTAAATGGAGCTGTTACTGGAGTTGACAGGTGCAAAGATCAGCCCTGGTGGGACTATAAACTTCACTCACTTCCACCTTTTCCCACAACTTTTCCCATCTACTCCACGGAAAGCGAAGCTGTGGCTGGTCTGACAGAGCCCCAGAAGGTCTTGCTCACATCCTCACCTGCATGGGAAACATCCGAAGCTTCTGCATCACCTGGGCAAGGAGGTAATCACAATTCCAGCGGGGACTGATGGTGTCTTGGCAGCTGCTGGTTTTTAGAAATCCTGCAGTATCCATCAGCTTCCTGGAGAGGCAAGATGGGAGCACTGGGATGGGAGGTGTGCTGGAGGCTGGGAGCACTGGGACAGCCATCCATGGTACTGCAGACTTATACACTTAATCTGCTCTCAGATAATGAAAATAAGAGGGGAAAAAATAAAATTCCCTTCTAGCCCTTTGGACAATGTCTGCATGTTAATTTAGCAACTTCCAGGCAGGATGGTATTTTTGTCCCTGCCTATGGCGGGGGGATTGGAACTGGGTGATCTTTGAGGTCCTTTCCAACCCAAACCGTTTTATGATTCATTCTGTGATTTATTGTATGATGGCAAATTAATTTAGAACAAAAAAAAAAAACATTCAGCATCTGAAATAGAGTATTATTTCCTGCAGCATTAATCGGTGGCATTGGTACCACATAATTTGTTACCGGTGGCATATTTCTGTATGGCTTCATTTCCTTAAAAGCACGGGAATTAATTAGGTGTTTGCATTGGGAAGGGACTGGCAGGCACTGAGCATAATGTGGGCAATCACCCGAGAGGCTGCACAGAGGCATTGAGGGTTTGTAAACCACGGTGTAAATACCACAGCTCTCCTGCCCTGCGGGGATTGAGCTGCTCACGGGCAGATGTGATTCAGCAGCTGAGCACCTGCCCCTCTGGATTTAAGTGCAGAACAAGAATTCACCTCATCTAAGTCATATACAGCAACACTGAATCATCAGGATTTGCTTCTCAGCAGCCGAGTGACTGAGTAGCTTTTCCCAGAAGGAAGTCCATCAGGCAGCACACAGCCCCGGGGTGTAACCGGCCCTGGGGTGCCATCAGCCAGGTGAATCACAGCCCCTCAGCTGACCCTGCAATTGCAGTTCACCTCCTTATCTTGTACCCCGAGGAACTCCGGCTGGGAAAATCCCCATCCCAGAGATGGCTTAAGGCCAGCAGGTCGAGGGGGATGATTCTGCCACTCTATTCCACTCTGGTGAGACCCCACCTGCAGAGCTGCCTCCAGCTCTTGGGCTTCCAACATAACAAGGACATGGAGCTGCTGCAGCAAGTCCAGAGAAGGCCGCAGAGATGCTCCAAAGGCTGGAGCCCCTCTGCTCTGGAGACAGGCTGGGCAAACTGGGGCTGTTCACCTGGAGAAGGGAAGACCCCAGGGGGACCTTAGAGCTTCTTTCAGTGCCTGAAGGGGCTCCAGGAGAGATGGAGAGGGACTTAGGACAAGGGCCTGGAGAAATAGGACAAGGGGGAATGGCTTCCCACTGCCAGGGGACAAGGTTAGGTGGGATATTGGGAAGGAATTCTTCCTTGTGAGGGTGGTGAGGTCCAGGCCTCCTCTGACCAAGCATTAAAATAGATTGCCCTAAGGAAACCTTTCCATGTTTTACAGGAGTTCAGAATTCACTCTAAACTGACCTATTTTATACACATGCATTACAGATTTGTATAAACGTGACCTTTTAAGAGCCGTCCTGTGCACTCGTTGAGCGTTACATATAAACCGAGTATGAAATATTTCAACCAACAGCTTCCAGGTGATGTGAGGGTAAAACTCAGGGCTGGGAAAAGGAGAGGAGAGGCAGGCTCAGAACATCAAGTACTAAAGAGAAATGTGCCTCTAACCTCAGCTCTGCAGCAGGTTCATGAGTTTCTTCACCCTCAGATCTCAGTCCTCACTCTTTGAGACTCAGGCAGGAGCTCAGGTGACCTCTTTAAGGTGTGCTAAGACCCCTGAGGACAAAAATGAGAGATGACAGTGGCTTTAGCTGCCAAAATCCTAAAAAACTAAATGCTTTGGGGGCTGATCAGAAAACATCAGAAATGTTATAGGAATTAGTAAAAAAAAAAAAAATCTCCAGTTTGGTGCTTTCTCATGGGCCTTGTATAAGAGACCTTTCCTACAGATAACTTGGTAACTCCATCATCAAACTTGCACTAAAGCAGGGCAGAAACAGCTCGAGCCTCTGGGTCAGAGCTGGGAACTGTGGCAGTGAATCTCCCACAGCAGCCCTTGCAGTATTAACATTTAAAAAATCACGAGACCTCAAATATCCCGACGCTAAGTCTCATGACCTTTAAGTCAACTAGATTCAGGTTTCTTTTTCTTTGACTCTCGCTATGCTTTTGGGATGGAAATAAAAGACCTTGTTAGGTTTAGGGAACATTGCAGGGAGCTTCCACCAGCCTTTTCTTCCCAAATTTACATTTCTGGTCCCCTAACCCCAGGTAGCATAAGTTCTGATTTATTTTTAAGCAGTTCTTTCAATGTTGACACATTTTGTTTTTAGGGCAATTCTTAAAAGATTTTTAAGCTTGGTGGAAATGAGTCTCCCTGCGAGGGTCACTCTGATCCAAAACAGCATTAAGTTGGCTCTCAAAGAAAATCTCTTTCTGAATAAGGAGTGGCCTCGTGCATTTTACAGGCTACAAGGAGAGCGAGGGCTAAGATTCAAAGACAGAATATTAGAATAATAGAAAATGCCCCAATCCACGTGCTGTGCCACGTCCTTGGGCACACAATACCCCAGGAGTCCTCATTCAATCCTCTTGCCACATTTCTGCCTTTGATAACACACTCCACTGAAAAACCAAACCCCAGCTCAGAGAAAGTCGTGCTTTGGGCTGCATTTCTTTGATTGGCTCAAATCAAAATGTGGAGTCAGGGGTTTGTTGGCAGCTCTTTAGCACTGAGAAAAGCCCTTTCCTGCTTTTCTTCTGCGTTCCCAAGGTGTATATTTTAGATAAAAGTCCCGTTTATGACCAGGGCACTCACTGCTGCTCCCAAAAGGAAGAAGACAGGGCCTGCTCCTGCTCTCCCCCCTCCTTCTCACCATCCCAGTGTGCCTCGTGGCTCCTGGCCCTTGGCTTTGCTACAAGCCAGCAGGGACCCCTGACATCCCCTTTTCTGGACAGCAAACGGGCACAGAAACCCCCCAAATCCTGCTGCCCACATTCAGCAACCCCAAGTTCCCCCTCGGTGCCCTGCAGCCCCTCGGCTGCTCCCCACAGCCCCGAGGCTGGACGGGGCCGCAGGCACAGGGACGCTGGACCGGCACAGCCTGGGGACACCCAGCCACCTCTGCCGGCGGCTGTGTTTGTACGTACAGATAAATATACACGGGGCAGAGCCGAAAAGACAGAGTCAGCTCCTCGCCGGGGTCCGGCGGCTCCTGTTACCGGCGGCTCCCGCGCCCAGCGCACGCACGCTCGTTATAGCAGCCGTCGGGCTGGCACAGAGCGGAGCAGATGGTCAGGGCAGCTTGGCCCGGGGCCACCGTCAGCCCCGGGCTCCTCACCTCAAAGGATGTGCTCACCGAGGCCACCTGGGCCCCCTGCACGCCTGCGGGCTGGCCAGGGCAGCGGCACCGGGGGAGAGCCGGAGCGGTTGCTGGCGTGGCAGGGGTTAACACTAAACGGTCCCAAAAATCGCGGTGCCCCCGCGCCAGCATCACCAGCTGCTACGGAGGGTCCTGCTCCTGCGTGAGCAAAAGCCTGGGATAGCTGTAGGCAGAATTTGGCAGGTAGAGACACCCTGAGCAATGCTGACTGGCAGAGGGATCACAGCACCGCAGGGAAACCCTCAAAAGCCACGATCACCCAGCAACGACCTGCCCTTGGTGGCCGTTGTTGATGCAGCTCCGGCTGCCCAGAGCTCCCAGGAAGGATCTGCTGCCCCGTTTGCCCCTAGGACAAGGGCACAAGGGGCAGAAGGGGCACAGCAGGGCAGCAGGAGGAGCAGGGGAGGGGTGGCAATGGCAGAGGCAGGAAGCAGATCCTGTGCCTGGCCACCACTCCATGGGCTGGGGGCACAGGCAGGGAGCCAGGGCTTGCAGCTGGGCTGCAGGGAGAGGGGCCATGGGCAGGGATTGGCCATGGATATCACCTGGTGTTTTCTGCCCCCCAGATTAGGCGTTTTGCACCATTACCAATCAACTGGGGCTTTCTGGCCAAGAGCAATAGCTTCTCCGGGCAACCACAGGAGAGCCCCCGTGGCAGGGGCACAGTGGGGGCTCTGCGGTGCATCAGAACAGGAGCTCCTGCAGCACTAACACAGCTGTGGGCACGTGAGAGCCCAACAGCTCTGCTCCAAACTGTGCTCCGAGGAGCCCCAGGCAGCGAGCACGGCCATAAAGAGCAGAGGCAGCAGCGCTCCAACTTCCTGGCACTCGGGGAATCTTCCTGGATCACGTTACGTTCATGTGTCCTTGGCTCATCTCTGTACAGTTGAAAAACACTGTAAGGGGAGCCAGTTAATTGGGACAGCAGGGCTCAAGGAGCAAAACCCAGGGAACCAGCTCCTGCTTAATTGGAGTCCTGCTGCTGTACCCAAAGCAGCCTGTTTGCACAGCCCTGCTTTCTCAGGTGCTCTCCAGCTGCTGGTCAGGGTCGGCTGCCCACCAAACCTCTGCGTTGCTCCCGGGCTGTTCTGCAACATGGTCCTGAGGAGTGGCCAGTTCCCACTGTTGGTGGGGTGGTTGTGGAGTCCTCATCCCTGGAGGTGTTCAAGAAACAACTGGACGTGTCACTCAGTGATCTGGTCTAGTTGACAAGGCGGTGTTCAGTCAAAGGTCAGACTTGAGGTCTTTTCCAATCTAAATGATTCCACGATTCTGTGATTTTGGCACCAAATGAACCAGAAAGAAGGCAGGCATTAAGGGTGATGGCTGGTTGTGACCCCCACACCGGCACGGATGAGGACAGTGGGGTAGTTGCAGTGACACTCAGCATTCACTCTGCTGGTGCTGCATGTCACAACCTGCCCTGCCTTAGCACGAAAGGCTCCCAGCCCTGAGGGGATGTTCCCAGGCACTGCCACGGTACAAATAAATAACAACAATAATACTCGGTGGGGGGGAGCCCTGCCATCTGACCCAGTGCTGATGGAAAGAGCAAAGAGCCTGTGTTTGCCCCCAGCAATGTGAATCCACTGGCATCTGGTCACCGAGCAGGAAGGGCTGACGGTCGTTTGGAGGGAGCGGCTGTGGCAGTGGGACCGTGGTGACAGAGCTGTGCTGGCACCAGCACCCACACAGCTCCAGACTTTACTGGTGCAAACCCACCACAGGCAGATGAGCTCCAAACACCAAGTGCACCACACACAGCCCTCACACCTAACAACCAGGAGACCTTCTCTTACCTTTGTTATGGATGATTATTTAAGGAATACTTTTAGAGTGATGGAGATGCTTTGCCTCTTCAGTGTTTTCCCTCTCTGAAAGAGGACCAGTCCTCACTTCCTTGGCTCTGTAGGGGTTGTCACAGGCTTCGGGTCTTTTTTGCTTGAGTAGTCCTAAAGCAGAAAGGGACACAGATCAGGAGGGCAAGACACACCCTTGGCCCAAAGGCATCGGCTCCAAACGCAGCCCTGAGCCACGGGCAGGGAGGAGGCAGACAAAGGGCCACATGGGTCACCATGGATGTCCCCATAGCACCCTTGAGCTAAACCAGGTGACAGAAGCAAAACACAGATTTGAGGGAGAACTGCTCCCTTCCAGGTGGGCAGCTTGGTCACTCAAGGCCTGGGAACTGACAGTCCTGTTTTCCTTGCAGGCTCTGCCCGAGCTGTGGAAGCGAAGACGACGATAAAGCTGACGACCTCAGTAAGTCAGCTGTGGGACCAGCACTAGAGTGACACTGGTGTTTAAAAATGCAACCTCAAGTACAGCAAGCTGGGGCTTGTGGAAGACTCTGCCTTACTCCTTCTGCTTTTCCACTTCTGGGGAATCTTGGGAAAAATAAAAGAGCTTCCTCTGATCCTACCAAACAAGAGGGATAAACTCCAAGTGGTGTTGTATCAGGGTGCAATACACAAATTACCACTGCCACCACTCCAGTTCCCCAGTTTCCAGGGAACTAATAAATTTCCATAGAATCACAGAATGGTTCCATGAGCAGCGACATCTTACATGAGATCAGGTTGCTCCAAGCCCCATCCCACTCAGCCTTGAACACTTTCAGGGATGGGGCACTGACCTCACTGGGCAGCCTCTGCCATGAAGTTATAAAATATTTCTGGAAAGAAAAAATGAAAACAAAGACTATTCTTATTAGCATTGAGGTGGTTGATGCTCCTTCCCACCCAGTTCAGCTGCACCAAATCAAGCAGGTCTATCCCTGTCTTTAATCACAATATGTGAGCTTGGCTGGATGAGCAGGGAAGGGGGGTGGATGGTACCTCCAGCTCATCTCCCAAAGAACAAAATACCAAGCTCTGCTGAGCACTGTGGCAAACCTGGGACTCTGAGCAATCTGAAGGAGCTGGCGGGAGAGAGAGGCAAAGCAGAGCATCATTCCTGGGGTAACGGCCCATGCACACTCCTGCCCTGAGGCTCAGCCCATCACATTTCCAAGAAGAAAGCTGAGGGAGCAGCACTGTCCTTGCAGCTGCCTCAATGACAGGAATAATGTGCTGCAGAGCTAAGAGGGACAATGGGACAATGATAATGAAAATACAGGAGTGAAAATTCATTACTGGAGTCTGCTCGGGAGCATCCTGAGGGATCCCCTAAGGTTTTCTGGGCTGCTTTAACCCTTTGGGCCTGGCTCTGGTAGTCAGGCCGATGTTCTGTGCTGCTGTCTGTGCTTTCCTTCTCTTTTTTTTCCCATTTCTCTATCAAAACAATGATCTCCTTCTCCAAACAAAGCACTGTGCATCTCGCAGACCCCCAGGGCCCTTTGGTCCCAGCTTCCCGCAACTGTGCACACACAGCAAAAACCATAATGGTTGATTTTTGGTCAGCTGCTCCAGGAAAGAGTCTAACAATGTTTTCTCCTATTTCCAACAGCTCACGTGGAGATGGGAGCAGTGACTGGACAAGACAATCAGCCCAGCTCCACAGGTGAGTTCATTCCCTCCTGAGGGGAAGAGTCTTCCCTGACTGCTTTTTGGCCTCCTCAAGCAGAAGGGATCTATTTCAGCACTGTTAACGTTGCTTAGGTCTTAATGCTGATAATGTTTGCATTCTGTCAGGACTATGAAAAGTTAGAGATTCCCATCAGGCATCTCCATGGCAACCCCGGGATGCTCATCCCAGCCAGGTGCAGTGTCCATGTCGGAGTGACAGGCTGTCAGGTTCATCTCCCACTGTCCTTTGGAAGGGCAATGGGAACTGAGAGGGGGTCTGGCTCCTCTCAAAGCACTCCCAGGCTGCTAAGGAGCAGCACATCAAATGCCTGGGGGCTTCGACCTGGGGAACCAGCCAAGCGGCTCTTCCCAGCTGGTGGCAAAATACCTGGCAAAGGTACTTTTGGCAGGATTTTTTGGAAGGTATTGGTACCTGGCAAAGGTGTTTTTGGCAGGTTTGGCCGATGCAGAAATGATTTGGTGTTTTGGGCTTCTCCCACTGCCAGAAGGTGCAGCCTTTGCTCCTGACACAGCAGCAAATATGGATAGACCTTCTCAAAGACAAGAGGCAGCTACCTCTACAGCTTCTCCAAGTCATGGGCAAACTTGCTTCCATTGCCACCATTGTGTCCTCAGCTCATCCAGTAGCTCACGTGTCCAGGACCACCATGAGAACATCCAGCCCCTTCCACAGCATCCTGGTACCTTGGGTTAGGAAGAGATAACCCCAGTGAGAACTGTTGCATGATCTTGCCTCCAAATGACCATTCTGGTCCTTTAGCTCTGGCTCCAGGTAAACACAACCAGGGAGCCTGTCCACCTGCAGGCAAAGTTCCTTTGCTCTGCTCTTATGGCATCTCAGGAAGGAAGGTTTGGAGGTTCAGTCCTATCATGTCCACTTTCCTTCAAACACCACAACTCACACTGAGCTCCAGGTATTTTTTCCAAACTTGCTTTCCATTTACCTTTGTCATTGTATCAGAGAATACCAGGTTGGCTGGGCAGAGGAGATAACTGCTTTGTCTGTTGGGTCACCAAGAAGGGCTTTGCTCATCTCTGCAGCAGAGAGATGTTGATAAAATGCAAAAAAATAGCACTTTCTGCATCTCCCAGGAAGTGCCGTGCCACTTGTTTAATTAGAAGGGGCAAGGCTCCCTCCTGAGTAAACCAGAAATAGACTTCCAGGGCAAAAATAAACCTGCCTGGGTATTCTGGGGGACTCTCAGAAAGAACAGCTCTACAATATCCCCCAGTCTTGCACAGTACAACAGCCAGAATTTCAGAGGAGGGATATGTGGATAAAGCCAGTCTGCTCTGGGGGAGAGACCCCCTTCATAATTAATGCTGGTGTAAGCAGTTAGAGCATATTTTCCACTCCCCTCCCACTC